TGTTCTTGAATGAAGCTTACTGTTTTCCCTACTCATCACAGAAAACATATAGGTTAGAGCCACAAAGACTTACAAAAAACCACTGAGATTGTACTTTTATGAAGGTGTTTACTCTTTTTCAGCATATACCCCACTCACTTATTTAATTCCTGTAATTTTCAGATCAGTTCTCTACATTTCTCGTTGTTTTCTCCTTTTCTTTGTCTCATGTACTGTGTAATACATAGTCTCTGTAGACTCTGAGTATTATTTTCTGTAATGTCTACCAAAGGGCAAACTACTTAAAGTGCAGCATAATCTTACCAAGCCTCACTTCTTCATTTTTAAGAAGTATATATGAAGATAACTAAATAGTATGGCACATGGGGCCTATTCGTAACTTAATCAGGTAGTTTCAAATTTTAAACACATTATTCCAACAGCAGCTCGTACAGATAGTCACTAACCATTAAGGAAAACATACATCCCTTTTGCTGCCACCAACCACATTCTCTTTGCTTTATGGATCCATGGAGAAATTCTGGCTGTAGGCACTTGTTCCTGTCATATAGTTTAAGCTATTCTCTGCCAGCAGCTCGAAGGCTGTATGCAGAACATCAGATCTTGAGCTCCTGGGGTGCTCAGAGGGAGGTCCTCCTGCTTACTACTCCTCAAGAGATCCACGAAGGATGTGGAAGGATATTTCACACACAAAAGCGGCATCAGCCCAATAGCAAAGATTGCTCTACCTGTGGGTGCTCTTCAGGAATACTTTTATTTCATTCTTTTGACCATTATTTTGAAGACTTAGATTGTTTCCAAATGCATCTACAAATGCATTTCATACCAACTTCAAACAGCATGTTCGGATAAAACTGTGACCCCACATTTGTCTGTGCTTTCCAATGTCCCATTCTGAAAGACAGCTTTTAATTTTTCATTAAGAGTCCAGATACTTGAACTCTAAAGAGTCAGTACTCATGATTTGAGTTGAAAGAAAATTACTACTGCAAGCTGGCCTTGCAAACCCACTAAGCCATTTGCTTTGGCAGGGGGGTTGGACTCAATGATCTCTGGAGGTCCCTTCCAACCCCTACAATTCTGTGATTCTGTGATTCTGCCTGCTGTAGTACTTGTGCACAGCCTATCTTTGTCCATCTTACATGGCAGCAAGCATACACCAAATTACATAAATACACAAATACAGTTTATTCACTCTTTCACTCGCTCCTTTCAAGTCTATACTTTGCATGTGCTACTTATGTATAGCTCCTAGTATAACTGCCCAGGGCCCCATCCAACCTGGCCTTGAGCACCTCTAGGGATGGGGCAGCATAGCTTCTATGAACAGCTGAGCCAGGGTCTCACTGCCCTCTGTGTGAAAATTTTTCTCCTAACATCAAACCTAAATCTCTCATCTTTTAGTTTAAAGCCATTTCCCCTAGTCCTATCACTATGAGACTGTATAAAAAGTTGGTTCCCTTCAAACATGAGGCAAGACATTAGACCATTTTTAAAATCATGTCTGATTTCCCTTTCTCGTGAGCCATGTTGTTTGTTTGGTCGTGGTAGCTATTGAACAGTACATGCTTACAGCTTTGAATGTTGATTTCTATACAAGATAATTATGCTATAATCAGGTATAGAAGACAGTATTCCAGAGGGAAAAAAAATTGCATATGAAGAATTCTGGAAGATAGCACTGGTTGTTTTTTTTGTTTTGTTTTGTTTTGTTTCTTTGGTTTTTTTTGTTTTTTTTTTTTTAAATTAATTGCTCCTGTGGCCAATTCCTTTCTGCTCTGCATTAGTGGTAAAACATGAATATTTTCTTACAAAACAGTGCTTATTTGAAAACAGTTTTATGTTACTCATCGGGCTTAACTGTACGTTTGATGCTCTTAACAGCTGGACATTTACTGCATAGTTCTAAAATTTACCATGAACAAGACTGTAGGCATAACTCAAACTACAACAAGCAAAATAAGGCACATTTGAGAGCCATATTAACCACATTTTTCTGTCCCAGAATATACATTTCTAAATCTTGTTCTCAACTTTGACTCTCTTTATAACTGTCCTTCAGCACAGTCACTAAGTATGATTTGCAGTGCTGAAAACAACTATCTACATTTTATCTGTTTTTCTCAGGAGCACAGAAATGTGGCATCTTTCTAGAGAGTACGCCTGCAAACACAGAGCACGCTGAAGAGAAAATAATGCTGAACATCACCTGGCAACATGCTTAACAGTAACAACATAAGCTTAAATGTGTAGAAACATTTCCTGATAACAATCTGTCTGGAGTGACCCTTTACCTATAAGTAGACCTGAAAATGTACCCTTTCAATTGCAAATATGTTAGTCATCATTGTGGAAGAATCATTAATCTTAATAACAGGAAACTTACAGACTAACTCAACCAGCTTCCCTGGCCACCAATCTGTTGCTCCATATGTCTAAATCTAAAGCAGAGAAGTACCTGAGAGCAAAGGATGTATTTTGTGCCTTGAGACATCTGCCCCAGCTAGAACTCTCCTCTGCCTTCTGAAATTCCTTCACCCACAGGTAAGATTCCAAGGAGGATGTTAGCAACGTTATTCAGTTGCTCCTGTTGATGGGAAAATGTGGAACAGCAGTTTTATAGAGGTCTTACAGACTGGAAGTATTCCCTCAAAGCCAGTCAATACCCAGAGAGACGGTGGAGTACATGAGCCAGGAGAAGCTACTACAAAGCAACTGTGGCACTGTTGATGAGCCCCATAGTGCCTCGACTTATTTGTTGAGAATGAAGATGTGACAAACATCTAAAGGAACACTGATACACAGCAGTTAAGGACTGTCAAGCCATTTGACTTGTTTTTTGTTTTTTGTTTGTTTTTTTTTTCACAGCACCAAATTTAGGTCTAGACAATTGACTGCCTCAGAAGTGGGTAGGAGTTGTAGTTACACACATTCATGTAGCAACTGAGAGTGCTGGTTTGTGCATGTGGTTGGCTGGCACTATAAGGTCTGCTTGGCTCAGAAATACAGATCACGCTTTGCTTCTTTCCCAGAAAAATTCTTTTAAAACGCATGCTTTCTGCACCTAAAACATTGATGAAAGCAACTTTTTATCCTGTAATGGATTGGGCTTAAGGCCAATCTTCAGTGAAGTTTGTGTGATTTGACCCCCTTAATGCAACAGATGTTTAAAGATGCTTCAGGCGAAGTTTGGAAGGAAGGCCAACTGTTAGTCAGAGAGCAGCCCTAGACCAAAAGAAAAGTCCAGCTGGCAACTCATTTTAGAAGGGTGGGGTTTTTTTGTTTGCTTTGTTTTTTGACAACTGTTGTCTAAAGAGAGAAAAACTCTTAGTATTGCCTCTACTTGGAGACTCCTACATCGAGTAGAAAGAATAGTAGAGGTAAGATATTCTTCACTAAGTTAGATGAGACAACTCGGAGTAGAAGTTATGTGATACTCTGGATGCTTTTTTGAGTACTGGCAGGAAATGTGCACCAGAGAGCCAGCAAGGGTGTGAAGCCAAATATTTTCTGGACTGTATTTTGTGTGGACCATGAACCTTATTCCCCTGAGTAAAATTGTACCTCCACCTGTGTATACAGATGAGCTGCCCTCCTCAAATCTTTTTCTCCTGCAGTAGATAGAAAATCTTTCTTACTTTCAACCCGTTGCAAGACTGAGATCTCAAAGAAAAATTTGAATGTATATTTACTTTTTATTAAAAACATATTATAAATACATGTGTATGAATGCTGTCATATTTATGTGAATACACAGTACAGAAACATAATTTACAATATAAATATATATATTAAAAACTATAATTTTTAATTGAGATTAAAAAAACAGCAAAAATTCAGACATCTTTGATATGGTTTTCAGGTTATCTTTATGCAGCCCCTTTATTACTTTCAGACTTATTACTTTATTACTTTCAGACAATAATTAAAGTTACTGCAGACCACGATTTCTAATACTCAATTGACTGCTTCCCTCTCTCTGTCCCCTTGCAACACTCTCTATGCTTTTTAACTCTTTCTTTACTTCTGTCTTCCAAAAACTACTGGGGCTCCACAGCCCTTAAAAACATGCTTTACTTGTTTAGATCATAAAGTGATGATGGGCACACCTTACATTCTTTGTTTGAATCACTTCTATATATTCCTATTCGTTCTTTCTGTAGTTAGACCAGACAGAACCTTTTCTGGGGCACTGTTTACTGAAAAATATACATATCCTTCACACAATTGTTCCAGTACCTGAGTGTTTACAGGGACGTGTTGAGCCAAGTGGTGCGGTGTTTTTGAGAAGCACTAGCATATATGGAAACTACATAGTTTGGGTATGCAGAAATTTCTTCAGAAAACATGAATCCCTGTGAAATCTAAAATGACAAAGCTACTTAAGGCATTCTTTGTGTTAAATGAAATATATTCTACAAGAATCGCTCAAAAAGTAAAGCCTCCCATTTTATGATGTTGGTGCACAACATCAGAGGTAGATGTTGGTGGTATGGCTGTATGGGCTGAACCTTCCAACCAAGATTCCATTGCATTTTGTTGCCATGCAACAGATGACAGCAGAGGGGCAGTCTGACAAAATGGCATCTGACATGCAATCTACAATGCAGATGGAGCAAAGGTATGTCACTGAATTCCTCCATGAGGAAAAAACAGCACCCACTGACATTCATTGATAAAGATATAAGAAATCCTAAAGCACTGCTACAGCTCAGGAAGGAGACCTTGGAGTCATTGCTGTAAGTTCTCTAAAACCATTGCCTTGATGTGTAACAGCAGCCAGAAAAGCCAACAAAACACTGGGCATCATTAGGAAAACTATTGGGATGTATATGCAGGCTGCCCACTACAGAAAGTGGCAGTCATGCTCTCTCTAAGGAGCAGACCCTAATTTTAAAACCTCTAGACATTTCCTACCTTCTTAGTAAATAATGTAGTAAAGGGTAGTAGGGAAATCTCATTAAAAACAGTGTATAAATTGAAAACAAGTGGGCACTTTGTTTATTCCATAATCAACCAAATGTAATCAAAAATAGAAATTGTTAATGTATTCCAAATTCATGGAAATCTTTATGAATGTGATAAGTAGGTCATCCAGCCCAGACATGAGCCTACCCACTAGAGAGGATAACATCAGGAGAAGTATTTGTCAGTTAATGCCTGGAGACAGGAAGAGATTCTTTCTGCGTATAATCTGTTCTTCACAGTATGACTTGCATTAGTTTGTTTGTTTTCTGGCACAGTTATTCTCTTGCCTATGTAGAAGAAGAGGATTTATTCACAGTGTATTGCTGTCACTTTCTACAGAAACAAAAACTTTAAAGGGCAGGTAGTGGAAAGGAACTTCCATAAGTGAAAATGTATTTACTCCCAGTTTCTTAGCTGAGGCAATTACAAGTTTGGGAAAAATTAGTGTGTTCAGTCTTCCTCAGTGCACAAATTTTGGTAAACAAGTTTTCTTGACTACGTACCTCTCCATCTCTCCAATGGTCAGGTCTGCCAACTTTGCTGGATTTTATTAGTTAATTTTTTTTGCTTTTATATTAGAGTAGCTTGAGGACTTGTACTGTCAGAGTTGCTATGGAAATATGCCCAGTAGCATAAGGAAAGTCCTAAGTCTATCAATTGGAAAACATTTTATCATTAGAAAATATGAATGAAGCTTCTGTTTAACACATGCACAGTGTTGTATGAACACTTTTTTTATACAACTTTAAACCCCGACAGATAACTCACATTCTCAGCAGCCAAATTACTGGAAGTTTTCGAGTTAGCTATTTTCTCTCTAATTCTAGATTGCATCTGCTCTTGTTTTTAATAAGATAAATTAAGGTCTAAGGCAGCTCTTCCAGCCACAGCATGAAAGAATTTTTTTTTTTTTTTTTAAAGCTTTGATTTTCTAGTCCAATAAAGCCTTGAATAGCTAGACATGTTCTGGTTTTTTGCCTCTCCATGACTCTCTTATTAAACATGGATATTGTACTGTGAGAGACTCTGATATAGGGCTTCAGAAGTTACTGCACCGTAATGTTGCCAAGAGCTATTCCGAGTGCTGAATCTCTAAATTAAAAGGAAATGGCTGAAAACTCACCTACCATATTACTTCCATGTGAAGTTACAGCTGTAAGAAATGTTTTGTTGGAACTCTGATTTAGAGAGACTTTAATTGCTGCTGACGTTTCTGGGAGACAAGTAATTGTTTTCCCTGTAGCTGTGACAAACTAGGCCTGCTTCTGCAAACTCTGAGCAGTTTGAAAAACTGAGTGGCTTTGGAAAAATCTCTTCTGTTGTGCCACAGAACTTGCTATATTTGAAATGCTTTATGATATAAGACTGCTCTCCTACCTGGGTCAGCATCTGAGGCTCCTCAGCAGATGTCCTTCTTCATTTGCAGGCATCAGCAACCTCAGGCTGCTGTGCTGAGGCAGAATCTGCTTGGACAAGAAGGGAGATAGGACTGAAAATGTAAAGAAGAGAGGCAGCAGCACCTGCTCTTGTGGGAAAAATGCAGCTTCATAGGAAGGGTAGCAGCATTTTATCTGTAATCTTCTGCAAATTATTTATCTTCCCAGAAAAAAAAAAAAAAAAAAAGTGAAAACAGAAAATAATAATCTAAAAAAAAAAAAACAACAACAACAACAAAAAAAACCAACACTCAACAGATGGGAAGTATTCCTGTACAAAAAATAGAAATGGAGGAAGTGCCAGACCCTGGGAGTGCTGGGTCACTCCTCTGCATGGCACTCAGGAGCACCTGAAGCACTTTGGGCCACTTATCTCTATCAAATGTCTCCAATGGTCACTGAACATAGTGTGCAACTAGGAACAAAACAGTTAAAAAAAAAAAAAGACAGTGAAAACAAGCAGAAAAATAAACAGAAAATAGCATAGAAAAGAGGAAGAACTAAAATGTGAATGCCTCTGGGATGAAGGAGGACGTGAAGGCAGGCAGCCCAGGTCTATGGGTCTGCAGGCAGCAGCTGCCCATGCAAATTGCACAGAGGGTGCTCTCAGTTTTTAGTTCTGAACGTATACTGGTTGTCAGTTCACTGCAAACCTGTTCTACAGCTGTGAACAAGTTTGTCTGTATATACAGGGAGTACCTAAAAGGGTGAAAAGGAAGTAACTTCTAACTTCAGGAGGAACATATCCTGCAGTGTTGGCAGTGAAAACAAACAGTTAAAGCAGAAGTTTGTGCCGGGGTCCTGGAAACTGTCATCATCTAAGATGTCATCATCTAACACAAGAGGATATACAGCTGTCACCTGTGCTGTAGGGTTCAGTCCATGTGAAGATGAAAATGTCATGTCCAGAGGAATCCATCCTACAAGAAAAACACCACCTCCAAAATCCAGAAAAAAGTGAGCAAAAGTGGCTGGTTTTGCTCGAGAAGATCTTAGTGACAGAGGCAGTTATGACATTTAAAGCCACAGCCCACTGATGCCAGAGCAGCAGCTTTGCAGTTCCCAAGAGACTGCTGCACAGATTAGACATCAGCCACAAAGCTATCCAGAAGTGGAAGGACTTGAATTTAATGGGATTACAATTCTTTTATTCTAATCTTCTCCACTTGGATTTGCACCTGAGCAAAAAAAGAGAATGCTCTGTCAGGAGCCAGTTGGAATAGGTAACTGGGTTTTGGGGATGCTCCTGGTCTGAATGCAGGGCTTTGAAAGATTGAATTCAAGAAAACCCTCAGTTTCCACTCAGCAAGAGCACAGGGCAAGGATACAGAGAGTGAACTGAACATGCCAAAAAGTAAGGAGATCTCCAAGTGTGTCCTTGGAAGCAGTGCTGCCCAAAGACAAGTATGGAGTAAGGACATGTAAACTGAAGACTAATTGGGGACACAGGCCCTTCAGCATTTACCACCTTATGCTCCAAACTGCACGTGATAGAATTCCAGGTGGTGTACAAATGTGGAGAGGATTTTCCTGGACCTTTTCCTGCAGTGAATTCCCCAAGCAGGTTTTTAAACCCAGATTCATTGAAATGCAAACCGCACTGTTTACAATCACCTATTGAGAAAGCACAAAGATTCTGGGGCTGCAACCCAGAAAGGGACAGCAAAGAATGGAGATCTACTGGAGGGTCTACATTATGTGGAGGGCAGTAAGCATACAATCAAGTGTTTCTTCAAGTACCTGTAAGATTTCAATTATGATTAGCATTGTAAATATTTGCCCAATTAGTTCTCCATCTTTTTAGCTGGCTTTTGTTTCTTTGCTTTCTTTTTTCTTTTTTCTTTTTTTTAAAAAAAGAAGTTTCCTGTACTAATTAAGCTCAAAATATTGGCTGCATGGCTGGTTTTCAACTCCTTCCTTCCTTTCTTCCATGCTACCTTTCTAAAGAGACCTTCACCAAGCAGCCTCACAGGATCTTCACTTTATAAGACTGGTAATTAGCTGAAGCTTTGCTGAGCATGTGGAAATCTTCTGAGTAAAGTCATTATAATAGAGTTTAATGTTTCAGCCTATTGCTTTCATTTGCAAGATTATTGGCTTGATAAAAGAAACAGATTTTGACAATACAATAGCTGTAGATACTTGAGAAATTGTGTCTGAACTTTTTTTTTTTTTTAGTCAAGCATATGGTACAGTCCCTTATTTAAGGAGCACAGTGGCATTTCAGATGGGAAGTCCAGGCAGATGGTGAAAAGCAGGAATCACTCAGTTTACACAATAAAGCACACTATCACCATTTGCATCATTACCAATTTTTGTGAGTTCAAATTTGTCTATGGTTTATAGAGAGGAAAAAAAGAAATACTCTTTTCTGCTCTTCCTGGTGGTATTTGAGAGAAGCTATGGTGCCCCATCCCTGGAGGCACTCAAGACCAGGCTGCACAGAGCCCTGGTCAGGCTGGCTACCAGAGTGGGTGGCAGCCTTGCCCACAGCACAGAATGGGGCTGGGTGGGCTTTGAGGTCCCTTCCAACCCCAACCATTCTGTGATTCTATTATTGTATGAGATGATAGTAATAAATTTAAAGAAGAAAATCAGTGTTATTAATGAAAGCACAAATTTCACAGTGTATTCAGCTTCCTCCTATGGGAAGTGCAGTTTCAGAAAGGTAATCCATTCCAGGCAAGTCAGGCATCTGCCAATGCAGCTGTTTGCATAAGCAATTTAAAGCAGAATACTTTGATAAAGTAGGTAATAAGCTGCTGCTGGAATAGGCATGGTAACAAAGAAAAAAAGTGGGTATGTTTGCAATAAGAGCCAGTTGATCGGAAAGGCAAACAAGTGGTGAATGAGTTAGAACCCCTGGCAGGGGCATACCAGGTGTTAATGTGCTACAGGGACTGAAGTGCCTTTTAAACCAAAAAAGGTGTGAAAGTCGGGCCAGGATAGGGATGGCTGTCTGCTTAACTTCCACCATAACCATCTGATGATGTGAGAAGATGAAACATCAATTTGGATTCAGTACTGAAATGTGAATTAAAAATTAATATGTTTTAATTTCCATTAACATATCTGAGGATATAAATAAGAGTCTGTACACAAGACTTACTCACTTATCTTGATAAGAGTGTAAATGGTGGGAGCCAAAGACAATTTATCAGCACATTTTCTAAAGCCTGTGAATTTCAGATAGGAATTTATTCCAGACATGAAAATCTTAGAGTCCTTATAGCTAAATGAAATAGCTGCATCCATCAGTAGATTAGTCAAATATTTTTCTGCAAATAATTTTATGACAATTGTAGCTTTTTTTTTCTGCTAGCAAATTACTTACCAACAGGCTAGGAATTTTGAATTTGTTCCAAAACCAATATCAACACATTTCTTGCATGTAATTTCTGTCAGCTTGCCACGATGAGTGTTCACTGCTTATTTGTGCCATATGAATATTCATTCAAACTTGCAGTGATGTTTTTCTCTACTGATTCAGCAACAATCATATACACAACTAATTCAAACAGCTGTAATTTTTAAATCCTTGATCTGAAGCCCACCAGGAGCACTACAGCACTGTGAATCAGCTGTCTTTTTATCCAGACATTCTCAGAAGTGTTTGTGTTAGTACAATTGATGTTTTGTTCTTGATGAAGCCCCATGAAACCATCATCCTCAACTTTTCTCCTCAGTGCTACAGCACTAAATTCAGACACAGCTTTGTGTAACTGCTGAAGTTTGAGCAATTGATGTCAGTTTAGCATAGACTGGATTTATTACATTCCGTTTATATGCAAAACAAATGAAATACAGTATCATAAGGATAATGGGTGGATTATGTGCTGATATTTTAATTGTCCGATTTCCTGATTAGAAAACGTTAATGGATTTCCAAATCAAAACAGATATCAAACTTTTCCATTTTCTGTTGCCTCCTATCCTTACTACATTTGTGTACTTCATTTTGTATTTTAAAGCAAAGAAAGAAAGAGGTACACTTGTGTAATACTTTCTGATACTACGTCTTTTTTTAATATCACCCAAGCTCACAGAGAAATCATAAGGCAATGGTGAAGCTTTCCTTGTGATTTTAAGTTGATAATCACGTGCACGTAGTCTCACAATAGCCTTTTCAAGAATACTTTCTATCATTACAAACTGTTGATAAATTGATCCACAGATATTGTAAAAGGGTTGTGAGCTTCAAGCATCTCTTTGATAAAATTTTCAGTGTCTTGTGAGTGTCTCTGCAGTGATTCATTTCAAAGTTACTTTCCAGTTCCCAGGATTATTTGAGTGGAATAAAACCTGGGAACAGGATGAACATAAAGGAATGGATGGGGCTTTGAGCAACCTGGTCTAAAGGGAGGTGTCCCTGCCTATAGCAGGGCATTGGAGCTAGATGATCTTAAAGGTCCCTTCCAACCCAAACCATTCTGTAATTCTATGACTGGTAAAACTTTATCTAGGATTATATTTAGCATTTGTACGCAATTGGAATGAAGAGTTTCTCTTTTCAAAATTTGTGTGATAAGGTATATAAAAAACACATTTTTAAAGCAAAGCAAATACATTGCAATTATTGCTAATGTACCTTTAGTCCACCTTATTGGCCCTTTGTTTAAGGGAAAAATCCTAAGTCTCAGTCAGGTTCATTGCTATACTCTGCAGATAAAAGGAAACAGTAAGCATGGCTAACAGTAAGCATATCTGAGTAAAACCTGCCTGAACCTACAGTCTCCTACTTCCCTACTGACAAGAATAAGGAGCAAGCTCAATAACAGGAACACAACTGTCCTTCCTGAGCTTGTGTGCTGAGCAGCTCCTGCTATTGAAGTACTCATTCCATCTGTTGGAAGTGTTCCGAGAAGATTCAGTAGCATAGCATACCTCAGTTCTGTCACATGATTGTACCAACAGATGCAGCAATCTAACAACCAGCTCACATGGTCCTTTCAATTAACAACTGCACTGATTGTTTCTTGGCAGCTTTTTTTTTTTTCCTATAAGTAGTAATTACACAGTAGTTAATCTTCAAAGTAGATTTTTCTAACCTCTTGGAATGCCTATTTCTGTGCAGGTGATGTGATACCTCTACGAAGTGCTAGAAAAAAAGCAAAACAAGCTACAGAATAAAAGACAGGCTTCTGTCTTCTTGCAATTATACCAGGATGTCCAGAACTTCTTGAACTTCATAACTGATCATTTCATAGGGCTTCATCAAAACCCTGTGAACAGCCTTAAGCTCAGGCTCAGACCTACAACTGACAGTTTCTCTGATCTGAATGTGATATCTTGCCAAAAAAACAGGATTTTAAAATTATGGAGTATAAACGAGCAAGATATAATTAGGCTGCCTACATTGCCATGCAAAGATATTTCCCAGGGTCAGGCTTCCCAACTCTACATATGGCTCCCAACAGACATTGCTCAAAAACTCACTGCGGACATCCCCTGCTGCTTCTGTACAAGGTTCTCATTTTGGAAAGGAACCAGGATGTAGTAGTGTCTTCCTGCTATGAAGCAGGAGAGGAAAATATACCACAGGGTTGGTGGGTTAGTGCACGTGGTGTGACAGTTGTTTTTCAGTTGTGGAATCAATTCTTGCAAGCTCTGTGGTGCAAACCTCTGTCTGTGGCATTATTGTGACTCTGTAGCTAACACACATAGATATTCCAACTGGATTAGGTCATTAACTATATCAGAATCATTATGAACCATCTGCTTAATAGAAACCAGATATGTACACAAACTATGAACACACATTTTCATTCACACATAATATATATTATTATTTAATAGCACTCAAATGCTTTAAAAAGGACAGCACTTAGTTTTATTTTCATTTTGCCTCTGAAATTCAGCTAAAACATTGTGCCTTTCAGTGTTTCGGTTTTAAATAGCCAAAGCATTTGAAAACTACTACACTGCAACGTTAAGAGTTATTTTACCTTTTAATTAATAAAATGAAATGAATAATTTTGCTGATTATTATTATGCTGTAAATAGATATCAAGATATATGATTTTAAAAAAGGCAAATAAGATTTGATAGAGCAGATCCTGTTCCCAGAGGGACAGAAACCAGAACCTAGAAAAGGAAACAAAGCTATACTGCTTCACGTTGCTCATATAATCAAGTTTAGGACTGACTTCAAGAGATCAGTTCAAAAGGTAAAGCTCTAATAATGGAAAATAAAGTCAGCATTCCAGATTTTTTAATTTATATTCTAACCAAGATCACTAGGCTCAAGTCTTTAATCTCTTATGAAACTTAGGAGAATGAGGAAGGAGAAGGTGTTGCCAGTCAGGAGTAAAGTACAGTTAACCTGTTCACCTTCAAACTGGGCAACTAGGGTGAATCATTTTCTCTCCTGCAAGTTCCTAAACAGCTTCAATTCACACAGCTGCCAAGGCTTTCAACTTCTACCAAACAAAAGCAAAAACCATACATGCCCTTGTTTCCTGGATCTGTAACTTCTCCGCAAGTGTTTCCGTAATAGAAGGCTCTTTTGACCTGCCGAGGCTATCCTTCTTAATACTAAGAGCACTGTTCAGACCTCCACAAACCACGTCACCTGCAGAGCAACATGTATGTACAACACCTCTCCTCACTGATCAAAACAAGAAGTGAAGGCTCTGTCAGGTTGGCTTCTCCCAGCAATTTAAAACCAGTGACAGTTGCTAGACCCAGAAGGAAGACATTTCCCTTAAAAAATGAAGTCTTAGTAGTACATGTAAGCTTCCTTCTAAGAGAAAGGAAAAAAAACGTGATGATGGGCATGATCTACAATGTAGTGCTTGCATATTATAATTGTATATTTCATGGGAAAATACACCCTTTACCATACAAATAATTTTTTGACTGAGTTACTGATCACTGACAGAGAGCTCTGCCTAGAGCTAAGTAAATAGTTATTTCTTCAGGAATAAAACAGGAATCTCCCAAGCTGGTTAATGCTCAAATAATGAATAGTTTGAGACAAAGTTTTTTTCTTAAGCTTAATACTGAAAAATCCCAGTCTCAGGCCAAGTTCAAGATCTCAGACAAGAACTCCCCACACCAAGAGGATGTTACCTGTTGCTTCTATAAAACACTTTGTATGTCAGAAAAAGTACCGCTTGGTTAGCCTGAAAGCCATAAGAATCAAAGGAGAAAGTTGCTTTACTGAACTGTGTCTAACATTATAATGAAGATAACATACAAGCAACAAAGGAAAACACCACCATGTTAAAATACACTCAACTAAGTTTTGTCCGGACCAGGTTTCCACAGTTCTTTCATTTTCTACTTATGTGCCTTACCAAGTAGGACAACATTACTGTAACACAATGGAAAGCACAGCAATAACAGCAGAGTAGAGGAAGGTCCCAGGCTGCAGCAAGTGAGGACTTGCTCAAATACAACAGTCACAAGTACAGAAAGAAGCTGCTTACCTTCAGAAAATCTCAAACACACAAGGATCACCAACAAGACACCCTTGCTTCCAACACTTAAATGATGTCTGGGGAGGGGTTAATCCTGGCTCCACTCTTTTCAGTCACTCAGGCACATTGCATGCAGCTGAGCTCCTCTGGGTGGGCCCTGCCTTCCCACCAGGGGCTCATTCGCTGGTTCAAGCCCTGACTTAGCATTTCCACTACAGTTATGAAATGGGAATGTCATGCAAAAATCTTTGAGGCTATATATGGTGTCTATCATTTGGGTTCTTGAGAGTGAATGCAATCACCTTTGGAGCAAATAAATAAATAAATAAATACATACATACATACTTATATATACATACATACATAAATACTGTTTTGACAGGAATCTCCATTGATTTATCTGGAAATGATGGAGGAAAGGAAACTGGTACATGCTCACCCTCAGAGGACAGTCATATTTTACAACGTTAATACTGAGTCAGAAGTTAAGGCTCTGATCCTGGAAATGGTTTGCAGCCCCTGGTACCTTCATGCCTGTGATGGATCCCACAGAGCTGTGGGTCTCTTCATGTAAGCTGTAGTACTTACATGCAGAAATGCCTTCGGGATCAGGCCCTGATGATCAGTGGTAGTCTCAGGAAAAGTATCCATAATTCTAGTTTCTCAGATATAGACAAGCTTTTTTTGTTCTTCTTTTTAAGAATGCATCTTATTTCATTTCCTCCTCACTGACCCTGAAAGCTGTTTCATTTTCATATTATGTCAGATCTGCATGTCTTCTTGAAAAAACCTAAGTGTTTTCAGACTGGGAGGGCTCAGAGACTGTGTTTGCTGGTTAAAACTGGAAAATGTCAACCTTGATTGTAGTCATTTAAAAATTAAGTTCTTATACACTTCTGTTGTTGTTGTTGTTGTTAAAATATTCTAGTATGCCTCCAAAATCTCCTAAAAGTGAAATTAACACCTGGTGCTGGAACTCCATGCCAACTTTTATCCTCACAGCAATGCATATTTTAGCCTGAATTTCACCTCAAAATGAAATGGCAGAGGGGACAGCAGTGATTCAAGACCTGTCAGGTTATGCTTACCTGTCAAGTTTCTTTCTATCATCTGCCAACTAATTAAGGTAACCTTGTCACAGAATTCAATTAACACTCAAGTGATATGACAGAGCGTTAGATGTCCTGGTTAGAGGTTAGTCCGTTTCTCACTTCTTGGCTGCAAATGACTGCTGCATACACACTTTCTTCCGCCCCACTGAAATTATTTTCTATTGCAACCCTGAGACAATTCAAACTTGATTAATCCTTCCTCTAGTCTTTGGAGAGCCTTTTTTTCTGCTTTCTTCTTGAATTTTATGCTCAGTAGCCAGACAGAACAAGAATTGCACAGTAGGAGCTGCTCAAGTAGCAAAAACACAGGAAAGTGAGTCCTGTGGATATGGTATCTAGTTTCTTCACCTTTAACAGATATACTGTGCATCCATCAGCAGTTTGGTTGAAGACATATTCCATGAAAAAAAGGTGATTTTTAGTGAATTTTGTCAAAAAGAATCCACTTTTGCAAGTGAGATCTTCTGAAAAAAATCTGATCCTGAACATTTGAAATTTTGAAGCACTGAGCATTTTACAATTTTTTTTTTTTTTTTAACTGATTAGTAAGCTTACTTCCATGCTTTGCTGTAACTTGATTTTTCATTTATATAGCAGCATGTTTCTTCTTAGAGATGTTTGGAGCAAAGGAAGCATTGCTATCTAGAATGTTCAGAAGGTAAGTGACTGATGGTTTGGATGGCTTCACAGAAGATAAAGCCTCTCATCTGTGTAATTCCAAAGGGAATTAATAAGGTTCGGTGTGTAATTCTACTTCTAAGCCACTTCAGAAAAACCAGACAAATCCACTGAATGGCTGAGAATATATCCTAGTGCACACATGTAATGTCCATTTTCCAGCTGATTTAAACAGCATCTGAGTTGTGTTTAACACAATTAAGGCAAATGGGATATCCTGGGAATTACAGTAAGACTTTTGGAAACAGTGCAAAAAGAACTTGGTACTACTACTAGAGATAAATTGTATGATGAAGTTGTCTTGTTTGTGAAAAACTTTAGTAAAATAATCTGTTAGGTTGGAAAGACAGTACAATTGCTTGAACAGTGAGAATATGACAAGCAAAAAAAGAAGCCAAAGAAATAGTGTCAGCTAGAATTGGAGTTAGCTGTGAGTTTTATAGCTCTCCAGGGAGAGGAGGACTCAAGCAATACAAAAAAATCACCTGCAACCTCATCCAGACAAGAGAACAAGTAATATGGGATACAAACACACTTGCTTACGTTACAAGTAAAGGTATATTGGAAATGAATGCTGAATTAATTAGCAGTGCTTGGAGCAATTATTTTGCAAGAGTATCATGTGAAGAGAATGCAAAGGAGGAGTTAAATCATGCAAATCCAAATGGGATAAGATTGGTCATATTTACAAGGAGCTAATCATAAAGGCAGATAGAGAACTGAAAGTGAGGGAAATATCTTGAGGAAGTGTGGATACACTTAGTGAAGTGATTTGTTATGGAAGGCATGTTTGACTGCTTTTGTAAGTCACAGAAAGTAGTAAACAAGTGTTATAAAAGCTTTGCAGAGCATATATTTAAATGTGGAGAAGTATTGAGCTCAGCACAAATTATACAAGTGAAATGGTGCTGCAGAATATGAAGACTTGCGACATTTCTGAAAGCATCTGGAGAGACTGAAATGTAGAAGTGTTAAACAGATTCATAGTAGGAGAGAACGGAGTTAACAGAAAGCTTGCTGTGTGTATTTTCTCTGAAATTTAGAGAAAAGAGGCAGTTACTGTTTTTTGTGGAAGTAGAAAAGGCCAATGTACATGTAATGAGAATGACCAAGCTGTTTTGGAGGACCCTATATATGCTGCCTCTGCCTAAAAAAAGGTGCTCAAAAGTAAGTAAATATCAAGGAGACTACCACAGAACATGCAAAATCTTGTGATGCTGTCTTAGCTAAACTTTACCAATGGCAGTGCTTTCTTACACAGATGCCACAGAGCAATTGCAAGACTGAAGCCTTGATAGATGGTGAAAGGTATTCTCCTCAAAGGAGAGCAGAGGACGAGATCTTAGAGGAAGCAGTTCTAATATTTCTTTCCAATTTCTTTTTTATTGTACCACAGGTCCATGGTGTGACTGTATGATTTCAAGAGTCTTGGATAGATGCATTGTGGGAAATCATCATGCTTTAGTTCCTGGAAATTCAGTTGATGACATTTAGAAGTCAATCTATTTAGTTGAACAAATTGTTCTTTGCTCTGTGAAAGACATAAGGGAGAAACAAGGGATTTTAGTGCAGACTCCAGTCTAAGTCATACTGGGAAAAAAAAATTAAAGCTGAACTTTGCTAGTAAGAATCTCAGCACAGTATTAACAGGATACTCCTAATATGACAGTGAAGAGACAGCTGTAGGAGAGACTACTGACTTCACGTTCAGACAGGATTTACCAGGAACTAACTTTGCAGGAGATAGTTGGTGACAGACATGGTAAAGAAACCTCCAGATGTCAGTAACTGCATCCAACGAAAACTGCAAAAAAAGAATTTACCTGATTTTTGCCTCTTCTTAAAATGTCTGTTATTATGAAAAAAAGTGCTGAAGCATTTGGGAATACAAAACACAGTGAAAATGAACTAGGCACCTCCTGAAACATGGACAAATAACCTATCTTGTACATGTTCAGTTTTGCTCATCTTTTCACAGGAAAAGAGTAACCTGCATGTGTATAAAGTATATGTATATACTGATACTAGAGCATGTCACTGGTTCTTCTGCTTCACCTTTTATGGAAGTCAAAAGGCTTTGTTCCAACACCTTCTATGCTAAAGTTTAGAACTACATCAACCTGATTATGGCCATGAGTTAGGTAGCATGTTAAATCCTTCATATAATAGAGTGGAGTGGAGTGGAGTGGAGTGGAGTGGAGTGGAGTGGAGTGGAGTGGAGTGGAGGGAAGGGAATAAGAGAATATCCTGAGTTGGAAGGTACCCACTGGTACTCCCAGACCAGATCTGCAAATACAGAATGGTATGTCAGGTGTTAGATATTCTCATGACTTTTTTGTTTTACAGACATCTGTTGTAAGAGAAAAACCTCTGAAACAGAACACAGTCTTCAAGCAGTTAACCCTGTGACTATTTACTGCCTTGTTAGCTCTGGAGTCAGTTATATATTATTTTAGTCTCTGTAGTTATTTTCTCTAATGTTAGTCTAACTGTCAGTTGGTGTCAAAAGCTGTGGACTACACTCACACTGTTTTTCTGTGGGAAGAAACAATTCTTTAATGTACAAGTCTGAGAAGCAAAGTTGAATTTAGTCAGCATAACCTTGAATGAAGGAATGGCTTTTATGAAAAACTCAAGGTTATAGTTCTGTTTCTAAACAGTGATGAAAAATCTTAATTCTTTAGAACAAATAAATAGGAAGATCATTTCCTTTTGAAAAATAAATTGTTTTTGCATGGGTTATTTACAAAAAATGGGAGGTAAATTAGTGGGAGGGACAATATCTAGAATCTGAACAGCAATTCTGATAAAGGATACAGCCTCAGCTATTACTCATTTTATTGGACAAAATGCACAAACTCTAGTCAGTGTGATAAAACAGCCCATCCTTACACACACATTGTAAGAATCCATCTGGAAAATAAAAGAAAGTCTATTTTTCTACTAAGTGCATCAGCAAATACAACTGGCTTCAGATATGCTGCTACATGTGTTGCTATGGAGTGAAAGCAGCGAAGATTGACATGGGATGATTCTTCGTATGTTGAAATGCGTGCTCAGGCAAGGAAGATTTTCTAGTAGGACTGAATTCCCTCCAGGAATGAAAAGCAATACTGGCTTACTGAGATTTATAAAAACACTCTTAGACCAGACCTTGTCTATGTGCTTTTAAAAAAAACCTACACGTATCTATTGCAAAAGCTCAATTTAAAATTTGTCCTAATTCCAAACATACTCATCCAGCCTACATCACATCGGGGACAAAACAAGAGATGCTCCCTGCAATAAGATGTTTCCTGCACTTCCTTGATTGGAGGACCAAATGATTTCCGGAACATTATCCAAAGCAAAGGGTTTTAGGCTGTAAAAATCAGTTTTAGAACACCATTTTTACGAAGATAATTACGACAGTTTTACAAAAATTAGTGCTCCAGAATCTTTTGATTCAATCTTATAAAATTGATCACGCTTTATATCTGATGTTTTTGGAAAGCAACAGAAAGCCAGTTATACATTATTTTATTATTGCTGTAAGTTGTAAATGACTTTAGTGAACTAGTAGAAATTACAGAGAATTATTATTTTTCCAGAAAAATCAATAGAATACATATTTTGCTACTTAGCTCTATCATCATAAAGGAAATTAGTAAATAATGCAAAAAAAACCCCTCAACCCCAAACACATAGAAATAGTGAGAATCATCCTTTTAGGGGACAACAACAGCAGCATAAAAAGTACAAAGAATAAGAATAGTATTTTGTTTTGTCTGTCCACGCTGAATTCTTTCTTTATTTTAAAGTATCTTTGTCAGCTTCAGCCAGACATGGTCAAGGGATCTTCTTATTCTGCTTTTAGAAAATGGAAGAAGCAATGTTGAATACAGGAAACCAACCCTCGCTGACGAACAATATTTTGTCACTTGAGACCTTCCATCCTGAGATAATCTTAAACAGGGCTTCTTTTCCCCAGACCAAGGTCTTTTCCTGTCACCTTGCAGCATGAAACAGTGCCATGTGGCATTTTCCTTCCCTGAAAGTTTCCAATTTTATTAAATCTAATCCTGAATTAACAGATGTCCTCAAGGAATTTTTCATTTTCGTCAGTGTAAGCCTAAACCAAAGTTGAGGGGCTCAGTGATTCTGACAGCTGAGATCTGACTAAAGCAAGATCTTATTAAAATAACCTTTGAAGTCTTTAACTAAAAACTCACTATTGCAGGTATGCTAGTGATGAGCAACTCAACTTCTGGTAGATTTTCATTTTTGAATGGGCACAGATGTTTTGCAGGTCTTGTCCCTGGCAATGCTACACAACAATCGCTTGTCAGTACCTTTTGATCATTGGTACACTTTTAGCAGTTCTTATACGTGTGAAGAACAGTCACACATTCAAAGCTAAGTTAATTTTCCTTATAAAATCTTGCCAGGACTGGGAAATGTCAAACTGGAGCTCCTTGTTTGCAGAACCTCCTCTGATGGTATCCAATCAGTGGGAGAAAAGCAATCCCCCTTGCAAGGTTTGCTATTAACCAGGTCTTTTCCCTGCTGGTTCATTGGCTTGTGAGCACATCCACACTCTGCAACGCTTACCAGATTGGCCTCAGATGCAGCCCATGTGTTCCTTTCCTCAGTCAATGCCTCAATATACAGCTGCTTAATTGGTTATACTTTATTCCTCCTGTGTCTGGATGGAGATTTTTACTCATAATTACTGTTGACACCAGGCAGTTGTGCGCTACTCAGCAAAACCCCGTCTGAGACACATAAATAATAAGACGGCTGTAGAAAGATGAATAGCAGACTTGCTGCCTCAGAAGTTTCTGGGATGATTTTTGCAAATACTGCTAAAATATGTTAAAGACCAGACAAATCCAGGCAAGACCCGAGGCTTAATACAGTCTGTTATTGTTAGAAGGCTTAAATGTTACTATTAATAAAAAGAATGATTTCTCCTAATACAGTTATGGGCTAACTGCCTTTCCAACCTCAGCCTGTCTCTGTCCTAGATCCTCCATGTTCCTCAGCTTTTGCTCCTTGGCCTCCCCTGAAGGCTGTGTCCCTGCCTTGCTGTATGCCTTGCCAGGATGAGGGCAGCTCATGACACTGCAAATAGCTTCAGAACCTACACTTTGCAAGCCTCTTTCAATTGCAGTAGGGCAATTTCTTGCCCCAGGCCATCCCTGCTTCTTTGGTTACAAAATCTCCTCTGGTTTGCAGTCTGCATTTACTTTTTTTTTTCCTTTCTTTTTTTTTTTTTTTTTTCAGAAATGCCTTGCAAACACAATGAAATTACAGTAATTTCAGCTATATATGTCTGTCCACTGGTTGTCCTTCTCTCCACTCCGTGTTCATTGAATATATCTCCATTTTACAGAACACAATAGCAGAATCACCAAGGTGGTGAAGACCTCTAAGGTAATCTAGTCCAGTTGTCCATCTACCACCACCATGCCCACTAAACCATGTCCCTCAGTGCCGCATCTCTATGTTTCTTGAACACCTCCAGGGACAGTGACTCCACAATTTCCCTGAGCAGCCTGTTCCAATACCTCACCTCTCTTTCTGAGAAGAATTTTTTCCTAATATCTGACCTCAACCTCCCTGGCACAACTTGAGGCCATTCCTTCTCATCCTATCACTGTTACCTCAGAGGAGAGCTGACTCCCACCTCTCGACAACCTCCTGTAGCTCTTTTTCCCCTCTGGAATAATTTTGCAGGTAGGACTGTGTTTATGCCTCAGCCACTGGATCCATCCATATGGCACAGAAGAGAGAGTATCACCTAGTACATCTTTGTTAATAGCATCTGAATTACCTGATGTTTCCAGTGACTTGCCTAAGCTGAAACTGCCCTAACTTGTTCCTGCTGTAAACAAACAAACAAAAACCCAAAACCGAAACATCTTGTATTGCTTTTTGGCCAAAATCCCTTATTAAACTGTATGGGAAGCCATACACCAAGAAAACAACAGCTAAGATATCTCTAAACAGTTTTATGTGCCCCCAATCCCAGTTCTAGAGTGAGTTTACATCAGGTTGCTGTGTTGATGGATGCTCCATGGACAGCATTGCTAGTGTGCTGCAAGAGGGGCTCTGCCCCATTTCCCCACTGCCCTAACTAAGCTCGCTTTGCTGTCAGCATGCTGAGATACTTTCTTCCCTTTTGACTTCCCAGACACATCCCCGCTTGCTAAGAGCTGATAAAAATACTGCTTGCAGTGCTGTAGTGGCTCTTTGGTGGATGGCCTTGTGATGGGCAGTGAGTGCTAGCAGCAATGCAGAGAGTAAACCCTGGAAGTAAAGAGTTTCAGTCTTTCTGAGATAATTTATGGTTTCTGGATGGGCTATTGGAAACACAGTAAAACACTGTACAGTTTATTTCCCAGTTTTTATAACCCTTAGTTCAGCAGGTGGGGTTCAGCTGTGGTTGAAGCTGTTCTGGTTTATAAAACTGCTTTTATTTTTAAAGTCAAAGTTTATACAGCAGATTAAACTCTGGTGTAGCAGTTCCGAGACAAATGGCAGCCATCATTTTGTCACTTGAGGAAGAAGCTCCAAAATCTTCCTTTTAATCAGTACTTTTTAAACTTTAAATTTGCATTAACTACGTATGCACACCATTAACTATATCTGGGATATCTATCTACCCCACTAGATACGAAATTTCATAGTCTACTATATTGCATTATTCATAATAAAATCATGGTATTAAATCAGATCTTTAGCTTACATATAAATCATACTTTAGGAAGGCATCACAATTTGTCTCAATCTTTTTTCAGTTGTATATATATTAACATAACATGCCCTTTTACTCAAATTACATTCCACAGATTGTTACCTCAAAATGTTTATTGCCCTAGGCTTTAATTATGAAAATAAAAACCACCACCAACAAAAATACAACTGTGGGAAGGGAACCTACATTTTTTGCCTGTGTTAAAAACTGCGACTGTAATTCACCTGGTGTCTGGCTGTGCACTCATTAAGGTGCTATAAGACTATGCATGTTTAAAGGATCCAGGCTTTTATTTAAAAACCCAGTTAAATGCAAATTTTTTTCAGGGCACATCATCATCTGTTTCTTCTAAACAATTTTTTTTTTCCCCCTGTCACTGATAAGCTGTGATTGCAGCAGTGGAACAACTTGCTGAAACGCAAGCATTGGCTCTGCACCAGGTGTTGGTAATTGGAGTGGATCGCAATGACCGTTATGTTACTCAAAGGGGCCCAGAGGGAAAAAAATGCCATTTTTTGGAATGTATTTTCTCTTCATGTCTAGGCACAGGCAGAAATAAAAGCAACAGGAAACATCTTTCAAATATTGTATATAATTCAAATTCTCTCTTCCCATCACTCCAATAAAAATTCAAACCTATGGTAGCTTAAAGAAAAAGGTTTCTTTCATTCTTTTTTTTTTTTTTTTTTTTTTTTTTTTTTCCCCCCGAGGGGAAAAAGAATATAAATGTTTTGATGTCAAATAGAGGCTATAGAATCACAGAATCATAGAATTGTTTGAGTTGGAAGGGACCCTTAAAGGCTATCTAGCCCAACTCCCTGCAATGAACGGAGACACCTACAGCTCGATCAGGTTGCTCAGAGCCCTGTCCAACCTGACCTTGAGTGCCTCCAAGGACAGAGTACCCATCACCTCTCTCAGCAAGCTGTTCCTGTGCCTCACCACCCTCACTGTAAAAAACTTCTTCCTCATATCCATTCTAAATCCTCCCTCTTTTAGTTTGAAACCATTTCCCCTCTTCCTATCATCACAGACCCTGCCAAAGAATGTCTACTTCTTTCCTGTAGCTCCCCTTCAGATACTGAAAGGCCGCTATCAGGGCACCTTGCAGCCTTTTCTCCAGGCTAAATAGCCCCAGGTCTCTCAGCCATAGGAGAGGTGTTCCATCCCTTGGATCATTTTTGTGGCCCTCCTTTTGATGTGTTCCAGCAGACCCATGTCTCTCCTGTACTGAGGAGTTCCCATCCGGATGCAGTACTCTGGGTAAGGCCTCAGCAGCACAGAGTAATAATCAATTGTGGCTGTATACAGCAGCCTGAGTTCTGTCACAAATTTATTCTTCAGCCTTGGTGTGTTTAGTCATTAGCATTTTCTGCTCGTATATAATGCTCATGTACAGTGACTAAATTCTTGAAAAAGCAACTGAATTTGTGAAAACCAGTGCATCAACATGTGGCTGCTATTTTGCTTTCCTAGAAAAAGCAGCAGGTTTCTTACCTGAGAAAGAAAGGTATTTCAATGTCTGAAACTGCCCATCAGGCTGCTCAAATTAACTGCACCTATCAGTCATTGCGAGTACTTTTTATCCAAGCCAACCTCTTAAAAGAGTGAAAATAAAATTACAGAGCCAAAGGCTATACAGTAAATTTTGACATGTCCCAGGAAACAACTTTTTTCTTCTTTCAGCTTCTTGTGCACTGCAGCCTTCAGTGTGGTGTTTGGGATGGCCTCGGTGCTTTCATCCTTTGATGGCTGCACCCACAATCTTTGACTGTTTTCACTTTGGGCCTGACACATGGTTGAAAGTTGCTGAAAGTCTTACAGGCACTTCTGTGGGCTTTAAACTGAGGTGTCAGCTAAAGGCTTCGTCTTTACAAGAGGTTAACATGTGATGTCTTCTGGGAAACCAGTGCCTACAGAGGAAGGAAACTGCTATTAAAACTGCATTAAAAGTACAAAAGTAAGCTTGAAAGTGAATCAGTTTTAGAGTATCGCATAGCCTTGGTGTCTTGCAAGAGGGTCTTGCCTGGCCAGCACCATCCTCAGGCACGGGAGTAGTAGAGGGTCGTGGTGTACAGATCTGAATGGTGTGGTCCTCTCAAGATAGTGCAAAACCCAGGGGAGCACTGGGGAGAAGAAATAGCTTGAAGTGTTTGTGCTGGATGGACCCTTGGCCTGGGCCTCAGAAGACTTAATGCTGGAGGTGCTTGTAATGCAGGTGTATCAACAGATCAGACAGCCCCTGCTCATCTCCTGGTCTTTTCCCAGCAGTGCCTCCTTTAAGTCAGTGGCAGCTGCAGACCTAGATCCTCTTAGCCTGGGGCAAGCAGGAAACTCAGATATCCCACTTTCAGAATAAGGTGGCTTTAGACCACTGCTTAAGAGCTGTAGAGTCCTCTGGAAAATGAAGCAGAGCACATAGCACAGTGTTTTAGGATCTGTTGATCTCACCTGCCTCAGGGGAAAACATTGGGCTTTCAGTTGCAAGTGGTAGGAACTTCTTCTCCACCAGCTTGGAATCAGGCACATCTATACCAGCTATTGCCCAGTAAAGGGCTTTTTCAGGCTGAGGTCTTGATAGGGTTGTGCCTGTGTGCACACCATCCCCGTACCTGTTGGGGAGATGGCACTGCCACTGAGGATGGCAGCACAGAATGGTGGTGGTGGGGTTTGCAGAGTTCCCTGTTTTAGGTTTCTAGTTTCTTTTTTGACATGTAGTCTTTGACCAAGAGTAATTCCCCTCCTGTCTTAGCAGCTTGTGGTACTGCCCTTGTGCCCAGCAGGCTCTGCTCTTGGCTTGTTGCTTAGAACTATGTAGCTAGATGTGCCCGGAGGAGAATGGTGATTCCCTCTCTTTGCTAGAAGACAGTTTTGTGTCCAGCATGTTGCTGCTATTGGCTATTCAGTTTATTAGCAATATCAGTGCACAACACACTTTCCAGCCCCATTTCACAGTTAGTCATTATGGGTGTGCATGTGTCTGCATGTACAAACTGTGCTTCTTGTATGCTTATGCCCCTTGTTTTTTTCCTCCCCCAACCCAGACTGCTGCCTTCACCACCACCGTCTCCTCTTCCCAGTCCCTATGCTATCAGCAGTAACAGCCAGCTGAGAACTCTTTCTATCTGTCACCAGGAGAGGGTGAGTAACATGGGTGGAGGAGCTGAGAAAGCCTCCCTTGCAGCACTTGTCCTGGTACAGCAGCCTATGCTGTGTCAAGGTAGAAAAAAAGTCTGCCTTCCTAATTTTGGCTGTAAGCTTCCCTTCAGAGATACTTTTGTAGTCTGAGGCAGCCTAGCCCCAGCAAGCACTCATCCCCACCTGCTGCATGTATGGCCTGCCAGGATCCCTGGCAATGCACAACTGAATTAGTGTCTTTCTCTGAGTATTTTGACCATAGTCTACATAACACTGGGGCCAAGTTTGTATTTTTTATAATGTTCCCA